TCTGTTCGCGAGTTCACAGATTATTTCTTTTGCTTAGGACTGTCATTGACATTATTTATTGTATTTGTCACTTTATTCATTACATTCTTCTGCTCCAGAATTTCTGTTTGGTACTCCTTTGATTTTCATCTCTTTGTTGAACTTCCTGTTTTGTTCATGTATTGTTTTCCAATTTTGTTGAGTTGTGTATGTTTTCTTTGTAGCTAGCTGAATTTCCTTCAAACAGTTGTTTGAATTCTTTATCAGGTAATTCATAGATCTCTATTTCTTTGAGTTAGTTACTGGAAAATTATTATATTCATTTCGTAGTATTGTAGCAGGACGAGCCACAGACAAAACTCAGACACTGGGTTAAAGAAGGAAGCTGCTTATTCAGCCAGAAACTTCTCAGACTTGCGTCTCAAAAGCCAAGCTCCCTGAGTGAGCAATCCCTGTCCCCTTTAAGGGCTTACAACTCTAAGGGGGTCCATGTGAGAGGGTTGTGATCAATTGAGCAAGCAGGGGGTACATGACTGGGGGCTGCATGCACCGGTAAACAGAACAGAACAGGACAGGGATTTTCACCGTGCTTTTCCACACAATGTCTGGAATCTATAGATAACATAACCGGTTAGGTCAGGGGTCGATCTTTAACTACCAGGCCCAGGGCATGGCACCAGGATATCTGCCTGTGGATTCCATTTCTGTCTTTTAGTTTTTACTTCTTCTTTCTTTGGAGACAGAAATTGGTCATAAGTCAATATGAGGGGTGATCTCCTGCCTTATTCCCCTCTTTGAGAAGCTCGCTCATTAGTGGGAGTTCTTACTTTCATCCTTACTACCCATGTCTTCTTGCAAGACTGATCGATAGTGATTCATATAGTACACTTGTGCTAAGGTAGTAACTTTTCATTACTTGAAGGCGCAAAGGCAGCACACATGGAAGCAACAAGCAGGTTAATATTACTATTATAATTCCTATTATAGGAGTTTTAAATTCTCCTAGTGCTGGAAACCATTTTCGAAACGTGGACCTAGGATTAAACCCATGCCACACCTACACGGGCACATGTGGCAGCTTTGTTGTATCTTTATATCTTCAACTACTTGCCCTTGGTCATCTATGTGCAGACAGCAATTGGTCAGGTTAAATTTTTTACAGATCCCTCCTTCAGCTGCTAGCAAGTAGTGTAGGGCTAGTCTATTTTTATAGATAGCATTTCTAATCTGGGTTTCTGTTTGGGCTAAAACAGTTAAAGCTCTGCCAGTTTTATTAGTGATTATTTCTAAGAGAACTTGTAACTGTATGATTCAGTTGAGCATATAAATGGGGGCTCGGTATCCCCACGAATCATCTTGTGCCCAAATGGCAGGCCCATAGTACTGTATGATTTTTTTTAGGGGGCCACTCGTCATCTTTCCAGTCACCTATAGCTATGCTTCTCTTTTCTCAGGAAGCATAGACAGGGAAGCCTAGGAGCTCACCTGTTTTTATGGGCAGTAGGAAAAAAGATGGTTTAATGGTGCCAATAACACAACTACCTGCCCATTGGTCATGTAACTTGGCATAGGCTTTATGCCCACATATGTGGCATAATCCAGTGGGGGCTGTCCAGTCCTAATGGGACTCCAGGTGGGTCCACATGGTTTGCAACTTTGGAAATTTACTAAATGGATTTCTTTTAGTGTGGTTTGAACTTCACCAGGTGGCTGTTTCGTAGTACTGTTACACAGTTTTTGCCCAAGGCAGCTGAGTCTTCCCACAGGAACAGTGAAGTCTTTCCTCACCCTTGCTATATGATATTGCCTAATAATTGAGGTTTTTCAGAATCCAGAAGTTGCCAGTCTTTAATCTTATTGCCAGTCTTTAAACCAGCTGGTGCTGGTTTACCGGAAATTCTAGGGGTGGTACATGTGCTAAGCCAAGTTTATAATTTTTAAGAAATTGACCTTTTGTTTTAAATGTGGGGACATCAGCAGTGGACTTTATAGTCATTGATGCCTTTTTACTGAGTAATTTCCTTTAGCACCTATTTTTATTAGTTTTTAGACCAAAGAAATCCAAACACCATTTTATACTTTACAGTGCTTTCTGTATGATTTTTATACCAGATAAGCTAAATTTCACCTTTATATTAGTGTGTTATTAATGTTAAACTTAGTTTTAATAAAATCTTATAGACATATTTATTCAATTTTTAATGTCGGACCATAAGGTAAGATTTTTATAGACTCTTTTTAACCTTTTATAATTTTTGTTAAAGAGCAGGTTAGTGCTTTAAGAAAAACCCATTGTGTTTTTATTTTAATGTTCAGTTCACAGAAAAACTGGATGATACCCATTTAACTTTAGCCAATATGTTTACACACAGAATTTCCTTTACAATTAATGTTTTAAAACGTGCTTAAACTCCATCCTGGCTAACACGGTGAAACTGCATCTCTACTAAAAACACACACACACACACACACACAAAATTAGCCAGGCATGGTGGTGGGTGCCTGTAGTCCCAGCTACTCGGGAGGCTGAGGCAGGAGAATGGCGTGAGCCCAGGACACAGAGCTTGCAGTGAGCCAAGATCCCACCACTGCACTCTAGCCTGGGTGACAGAGCAAGACTCCTTAAAAGAAACAAAACAAAACAAAACTTGCTTAAACCTTCAAAACAAAAAAATTTTTTTTTTTTTTTTTACATTTTAATGTAGGTAAAAATCCACATTGTTATGCCACCTTATAATCCTTTTACTAGAGGTATGTTTTACTTTCCTTATACACCTTGCACATAAGCTGTTTCTTCAATAGTTTTACATTCGGGAGACCTAATTACTTTTAAATCATACAACATTTCTTGCATAAATTCTTTTTTCATAAGTTTTTTTCACGACTTTCGCAGACAATTCCTCGACATGCCTCAACTTCCTTATTACAAACATTTCTCTCTTTAAACAACCAGTTAATTTATTTCAGAACAAGAATTTACCATATAACATTCTTTTTACATAAATTCTGCCCCCACCTTTTTTTCCTTTTTTTGAAGATGATAATCATTCTTTTCCAAAGCAAACTTCCTTTACGTCTGTGGACTAGACTGTCTAAGGCCACAAGATTAGAAGTTACTATAATACATGTTACACTGTTAACTTTAGCAAACTTTACTTTTGTTAAAAACCTTGTAAGTTTGGGATTTCAATTATCCTTTGCTATTAATAAGACCTTGTTTAGTTCAAATTAACTTAGAATTGGTATAAATGGCTCCCCCCCCCCCCCCCCCCGCCCCTTTCAATTACCCAGGAGGAACCATCTATTGTCCTGTCCTGAAGGGAGTTTCTCCTAGGTCTGGTCAGACCTTTGTATGGTAATTAAGATTTAGATCCCCTGTTAAGAAACCTGCTGGGTTAAGGGAATTTTCAGTGGTTAATGTTAAATCATCTTTTTTTTTTTTTTTTTTAAACAGAGTAACCCTATATTTTAAGATTTTTAAGTTAGTAAGCTACCTTTTTGCCTTTTTTGTTTGTTTGTTTGTCTTTGTTTTTTACTTAGGATGCTTTTGAACTGGTGAGGTGTGCTCACAATGAGGTTTCCTCTAAAGGTTATTTTTCTACTTTCTTCTGTTAGCAAAGCAGTTGTTGCTATATATTGAATACATTTGGGCCAGCCACAGGTTACCGGGTTAAGGATTTTTGATAGGAAGGCTATTGGTTATCAGTGGCCTCAGTGCTTTTGGGATACGCCGTTGTTTACACTGACAACAAAGTGGTATTAGGGTGTTACAGGGTTACAGAGAATACCTTTAGTTATCTATTATGGGTTTTAAATTTACCTTGGCTTTCAAAGGAATAGAGTATACTTTTTTTTTTCTTAACTACTTGTATATCTCTCTCTTGCTTTCTTTCTTTCTCTCTTTGACTTTCAGTCTCTCTCTCTTTTTTGAATTTCCTTTTGACTCTGTCTCTTCTCTCTCTGCCTCTCTCTTTCTCTCTCTCTCTCTCTTTTTTTTTTTTTTTTTTTGTGAGGCAGAGTCTTGCTCTGTTGCCCAGGCTGGAGTGCAGTGGCACGATCTCGGCTCACTGCAACCACTACCTTCCAGGTTCAAGCAATTCTCCCACCTCAGCCTCCCAAGGAGCTGGGATTATAGGCACTTGCCACCACGCACAGCTAATTTTTGTATTTTTAATAGAGACGGGGTTTCATCATGTAGGCCAGGCTGGTCTCAAACTCCTGACCTCAGGTGATCTGCCCACCTCAGCCTCCCAAAGTGCTAGGATTACAGATGTGAGTCACCACACCTGGCTTCTCTCTCTCTTTCTCTCTCCTTGATTCCCTTTCTGTCTCTCTGTCTCTCCCTCTCTGTCTCTTCTTCTCTCTCTTTGCCTCTTTTCCTGTCTCTTTCCTCTCTCTGTCTCTGCTGGTCCTTCCTTGTCTCTGCCAGCCACGTATGCTGCTGTTCTCTCAAGCAGGGGTGGGGGGTGGATCTAAAACCAGCTGTAACCAAGTATCTATGTACGGGAACTGGTCTGCGTGCCCTGGCTTACAGGTTACCTTGTGCCATACCTTTGAAACAAGATACCTGTCCAGGCTTCCTTCTGATGGCCAACCCACCTCTAATGCTGGCCAGTCTATTTCACACAAAGTTCTAAGTTTTCCTGATGTCATAGTAACACTGTAATCTCCCTTAAATCCTTTCTTGAAATTTTCGACATAGTTCCTAGTGGTGTGGGCTTACTTTGTGACTGACCCGTGCTTCCTCGAGACAAAACACCACACTAACACCACACACACACCACAAAACAAAGAACGGGTAAAAAGGGCACACACACACTTTTACAGTTTACACCAAACCAGAATCAAAACCAAAATCAGAGTATCAAGAAATCCAAACCAGGTCAACACCAAAACCAAAGTATCAAGCAATCCAAGTCAAGCCAAAAACAAAAACCAAAGTGCTGGTATAGGCACACCATGGGTGATCAGGCCACACTTCCATTCAAATGGAGTGGGCAAGTTCCAAAGGCCAGACTTACCAAGTTTCAGATGTCTGGACTCCAAGTGTCAACTCCTTCCTGGTGTTCAGTGACTGTGTTGATCCTCACGGGGGCCTGCCATATACTGCTCTGGCAAGGCGTCCTACCGGGGCAATTGCCTACCTGGGAGCACTCTTTGGATCCACATCACTCAGGCTGGTCAGGGTCCCCTGCAGGTATGCTTCATAGGGCAGGCCTAAGTTGCCTAAGGGGCTGCCTCTACCGTCCACCAATCACCTCGCTTCCCAGTCAGGGAACCAAGAAATGTAGCAGGATGAGCCATAGACAAAACTCAGACGCCGGGTTAAATTAGGAAGGAGCTTTGTTCAGCCGGGAATTTCAGCAGACTTGCGTCTCAAAAGCTGAGCTCCCCAAGTGAGAAATTCCTGTCCCTTTTAAGGGCTTAAACTCTAAGAGGTTCCGTGTGAGAGGGCTGTGATCGATTGAGCAAGCAGGAGGTATGTGACTGGGGGCTGCATGCATTCGTAATTGGAACGGAACAGAACAGGACAGGGATTTTCACAATGCTTTTCCATACAATGTCTGGAATCTACAGATAACATAACCGGTTAGGTCAGGGGTTGATCTTTAACTACCAGGCCTAGGGCGTGGCACCAGCAGTGCCGGGCTGTCTGCCTGTGGATTTCATTTCTGCCTTTTAGTTTTTACTTCCCCTTTTTTTGGATGTAGAAATTGGGGATAAGACAATATGAGGGGTGGTCTCCTCCGTTAGTATCATGTTTCCTTGATTTTTCTTTTCTTTTTTTTTTTTTTTTTTTTTTTTTGAGACAGAGTCTTGCTCTGTCGCCCAGGCTGGAGTGCAGTGGTGCAATCTCGGCTCACTGCAAGCTCCACCTCCCAGGTTCACGCCATTCTCCTGCCTCAGCCTCCTGAGTAGCTGGGACTGCAGGCGCCCACCACCATGCCTGACTAATTTATCATATTTTCAGTAGAGACAGGGTTTCACCATGTTAGCCAGGATAGTCTCGATCTCCTGACCTTGTGATCTGCCGACCTCAGCCTCCCAAAGTGCTGGGATTACAGGTGTGAACCACTGCACCCAGCCCTTGATTTTTCAATTACATTAGGATCTTGCATTGTTGTTTTTGTTTGTTTGTTTTGGTTTGGTTTTGCTTTTCATTTGAAGACACAATCATCCTCTCCAGTCTCTGCTAACTTTGGGAGAGAAATACCTGCACTATTAGGCCTGAATAGGGATTCTGAGGTTTTCTCAGTCCTTTCCTATTAATGGGTCTGGTTCACACTTCTTGTTACCACTTGTGGAGGCGGAGATTCCTAAGGTTGTATGCCTTCTCTTGATCTTTTTTTTTAAGGCCGTTCTCTGAAATGGTCAAGTTTATGTGCCTTGTCCCAATCTCACAGAGTTAGGATGGCTTTCTGCACATGGTCATGAGCCATCTGCAGAGGCTTGGACTTGCATTTGTGGTGAGATGCATAAGGGCCATGGGGTGGAGAAGGGTGGGACATGCAAAGCATTTAGGGTGCCTGTGAGCAAGCTGAGGGATTCTGTAAACAAAGCATTTCCAGTAACCCATAGCAGGGCTTCCTGATGGAATCTGCCAAGCAAGGGAGCTAGTAAGATCCATGGCCCTTTATTGAGTTCTGAGCCCTGGTTAATGTGAATCCCCAGCTCTCTTCCTTGCTCCCAACTTTCTGAACTTTTTGCCTGTGCCAGTCACCTCAGTATTCTGTGTGAGGTAAGAAAGAGGTGGACCTCTCGAGTAGCACTCTTCATGACTGGATAAGCCAGGTACTTGCTTGCTATGCATTCACTTTCCCCTATAGGAGAAATTGCAGGCTGAAGGAGTCTCTCTTGGCACTGAACTGTGCTGCCTTGGGGGAAAGGTGACACAGTTAAAGTGAAATTGTTCTTCTTACCCTCTTCAATGCATCTATTATCAGACTTTTTGCTCCACAGTGTACTAGAACTTCTCTGCTGGACTCTCAGACTCCCACAAAGGTACTGTCCCCTAGGGGTAGTTGTCAAAATCAATGCTTCTGTGTGAAGACGATGGCAGAAAGCCCCTATCCTGGCATGTTGAATGAATTCAGTCCTTTCAAAGCTTGCCTTTATGCTTTGTTAGTTGGATCCAGAACAATCTTTAGCCTAGGACTAGTTCTGGCTGTTGCTTTACCTGGTCCATTCTGGTGGTCTTCCCCACACTTCATGTAATTTTCCCATAGATATCGCTATGGACTGAATGCTTGTGTCCCCCTCAAAGTTCATACAGTGAAAACCTAAACCTTAATGTAATGGTATTCATTGATAAGGCCTTTGGGAAGTAATTAGGGTTAGATTAGTTCGTGAGAATGGGGCCCTCATCATGAAATGAATGCCCTTATAAAAAGAGGAGGAATTGTTACTTCTGCCTCTCTATATGCAAGTAACGAGGAAGGTCATGTGAGGACATAACCAGGAAGAGGGTCCTCATCAAGATCCTGACCGTGCCAGCACCCTGATCTCAAACTGCCAGCCTCCAGAATTGTGGGAAATAAGTGTCTGTTGTTTAAGCCTCCCAGTGTATATTACAGCAGGCCAAGCTGACTAAGGCACACATAAACTGATTGATACTAAGCTAAACTCTCAAGGGGAGCCTTCTGCAGATCTTCAGGGTCCTCCCAATGTGGCTCATTACTCTTTGGCCCTGCCCCACAAATCCTAGCTCCTTTGACCTCTTCAGACTCTGTACTCTGGGTGCTCCTTCCATGAGCTACAGCTGAGAAATTCTCTCCTGGCAGTAAGCTGGCAACATTAGAGTTCCCCTTATTTTATTTTCCTTCTCTATGTTGCCCATTGTCCAATGCCTGAAAATTGTTATTTTGTATATTTTGTCTAGTAATATGGTTGTTTAGGGAGGAGGATGAATCTGGGCTCTGTTGCTTCCTCATAGCCAGGAGCAGATGTCTTATAACATGTTAGTAAAGTTTGTCTACATTATAGACTCTCAGGATGTGCTTCAATATCTGGTAGGGAAAGTCTTCCCTCATTTTTCTTATTATTTCAAAATTTTCTTGGCCACCTGAGTCCGTTTCTCTTTTCCATGATTGTCTAGCCAGCTTACTAAATTTCCTTAAAAAGTCCTGTTAGGATTTGGATTGAAATTGAATTAAATTATTTACTAACATGAAACATGACTGATAGTCTTACATTTTCATATACCTTGTCCTTGGATGAGAAAAGTTAGCATAAAAAAAAACCAAAGGTCAAGATGGGCGGATAGCCTGAGGTCAGCTGTTCGAGACCAGCCTGGCCAAGCTGGTGAAACCCCATTTCTACTAATATTGCCAGACATGGTGGCGGGCACCTGTAATCCCAGCTACTCAGGAGGCTGAGGCAGGAAAATCACTTGAACCTGGGAGGCAGGTGGAGGTTGCAGTAAGCAGAGATGGTGCCACTGCACTCTCACCTAGGCAAAAGAGTGAGACTCTGCCTCAAAAAATAAAATAAAATAAATAAAATAAAATGAAACTGAAGAGCCAACTCAGGACATGCTGGCTAATTGAAGACTGAGAAGGAGCTGAATGAGATGGCAACTCCACTGGATGAAAACATTAAAATTCAAAAGAGCAAGGAGGGAGAGTGGTCTCTGGGATAGTTTGTTAAATGAGAATATGAGGAGAGAAGCATATACTGTTTTCTACCATTTAATTAAGAAAGAAGAGATACACATACAAATACATACTACGTATGTATATACACGTGCATAAATCTGTATCTACTTATGTTTAAAAATGAAAGTCCTGGCACAGTGGCTCACGCCTGTAATCCCAGCGCTTTGGGAGGCCAAGGCAGGTGGATCATGAGGTCAGGAATTCGAGACCAGCCTGGCCAACATAGTGAAACCTCATCTCTACTAAAAAACAAAAATTAGCTGGGCATGGTGGCATGTGCCTGTAGTCCCAGCTACTCAGGAGGCTGAGGCAGGAGAATCACTTGAACCCTGGAGGCGGAGGTTGTGGTGGGCTGAGATGGTGCCACTGCACTCTAGCCTGGGCAACAGAGGGAAATTCCATCTCAAAATAAATAAATAAATAAATAAAAATGGAAAGTAACTATAGAAGTAGCTTTGAATGACTTTATTGGGAAGTAACAGAGACAGAAGCTGGACTTTTCTGGATATATCTTGCTTTTAGATTACCCTTTAAAACCATATATATATTAAAAAATCATATAACAAAGTTATTATTATTATTACTTTGTAGAGACAGGGTCTTGCCATGTTGCCTAGGCTAGTCTCAAACTCTTGAGCTCAAGTGATCCTCCTGCCTCAGCCTCCCAAAGTGCTGGGATTACAGAGCCACCATGCCTGGCCAGCAAAGTTAAATTTTAAAAAAGCAATCCCTTAAAATGGAAAGTAAAATAAAGCAAATGAACCCAACACAACTGGAATTAGGTTGGTGGCACAGTCACACAGAGAGAACCTATTTAGAGCAACTTGAAAGCACAGTAATTTGATAGCCCATCCCTAGTGGGATACTCCCTAAGGGCAAAAAGAATTGCAAAAAATATCTTAAGCTGCTCAGAAATCTCATGTTTCAGAAGTAGCATGAAAATCATTATTTTGAGACTGTAGTGTATACAGAGAGGTTTAAAGTCAACAAGTCATTCTGCAAGTTTTCAGTGTGGGAGAAAAGATATCAATGGGTTAGACAAAAACCCTGTAGTGGACCTGCAACTATTAGTATAAAGTCACGACATATGTAATCTTGTAAACAAATACCATTTTCTACTCTGTCTACTGAAAAAGCTCAGAAGCAATAACTAAGCCCATAACGCCAAATGCATCAATGGTGCTCCCAAATACCATTTTCCCTGGAAGACAGCAGGGTCCCCTGCATTACAGCCTTGACAGGTCTAGGGCAGGAAACACACAGCTCACCCTAAGTACCTGAGCTTTCTTTTCTCTGGTTTGACCCCAAAGTTTCCAGGGATGTGTCCAAAGATTCCAAGATCCAATCTGAAGAAGTTCTCTCCCATAGGCCAATGAAACAAAAAATAATAGCTATCATAGACAAAAAACAAATACGTATGTTGATATCCACTAGTTTATAATGAAACACACCAACAAAATAAAACACAGTAGTCCCTGTTATAGGATTCTGGGAAACCAATTCATCTGAAATTAGTTCCTTATCTTATCTCCTGCATGACCTGCACCTCTAGGTACCAGATGGTTGAAGAGGACATTGCATCATTGTGGAAGAAACTTCTAAAGCTGCTTCAGTTAACAATGAGAAGGAATGATGGAGTCAAAATATCACCACTGTGCAAGTCCTAACAAATCAGTGGATATAGGTGTGCTAAATAACAAAGAGAGACGATCAGACTTCCCATGTCACCTTCTATG